TGGTTTGTTGACGTAGACTTTGCTTTTCAAATATCCCCATAAAAAGAAGTCCAAGGGAGTCAAATCGCGCGATCTTGGTGGCCATGGCACATTTCCTCTGCGCGAAATCACGCGATCACCGAAGAAGGACTGCAATCGATTGATATTGACGTTGGTTGTGTGGCATGTTGCACCGTCTTGTTGGAAATAAACATCGTCCATATCCATTCCTTCAAGTTGCGGCAAAAAATAGTCCTCTATCATCACGTGATATCGCTCAAAATTGACGGTAACGGCGTCCCCGGCCGCATTTTCGAAAAAGTAAGATCCGATGATGCCTTTTGACCACAATGCACACCACACAGTCACTTTTTGAGGATGCATCGGCTGCTCTTGATACTCACGCGGATTTTCGTTCGCCCAGATGCGGCAGTTTTGCTTGTTTACCGTCCCATTCAAAGTGAAATGCGCTTCGTCGCTGAACATGATTTTTGATGAAAAATTGTCATCAATTTGGCGGTGTTCAAGGAGCCAATCTGAGAACGTTCGGCGCGAAAAATGGTCGGCCCGACCCAGCTCTTGCGTCAATTGGATCTTGTAGGCGTGTACATTCAAATCCTTGTGGAGAATGCGGAGCAAACTGGTTCTCGAAATGCCCAATTCTTGGGATCGACGCGTTGTTGATTGTTTCGGATCGTCTCTCACACTCTCCTTCACAACAGCAATATTTTCCGGTGTGCGAACGCTCCTTGGCCGGCCAGAGCCTGGCAGATTTGCCACAGAACCTGTTGCCTCGAATTTACGCACCAGACGACCGATGGTTGTTTCGTTTGGGCGGTTGTTGCGACCGAAATGTTCACGATGCGCGAGAAACGTGTTTTTTATTTTTGCACCATTTTTGTAGTGCTCTTGAATAACTTTAATGCGGTCTTCAATCGAATACGACTTCATAGCGATCAATGGTAAACATTCAACTAACAAAATGACATGTCGGAGACAGAAAACAAAGATGGCGTCTATGTCAAATTGACGTTTACTTTCTTGCGTCCCTATTGGATAACCCTTGTTGACCAAACTTAATTTTGAATTTCTGCACAACAAAGGATAAAGCTACCGAAAGGTAATTTGGAATTTTGTTTTCAAAATATCAGTATGTTTCTGCCAGGTCAACCCTCTGACAATGATGACTCCGAAATACCTGACAGATTGCTCCCATGGTATACGAGTTCCATTCACTGATATCTCTGCGATGTTTTTTAGAACAATAGATGGCCTGCGTTTTCGAAGTATTAATTTTGATCAACCACCGATCCGCCCACTCCAATACTTTCTCCAAAGCACTCTGCAGTCTGTCGTGAACCAGGTTACCAGAACAAGACTGGGCTAGCAGTGCAGTGTCATCAGCATAGAGATAGACTTCACAGTTGCTGGGGCAAGGGACGTCATGTATATAAAGCGAATAAAGGACTGGTCCTAAGACCGATCCCTGAGGAACACCGGCTCTTACAACACATGGTTAATTTTGATCCGAGACTTCCTTCCTTCTAGAAAAGATGTCAACAGTTTTAGTAGCCAAAATGGAAAACCCTTTTGGATGAGCTTATACAAGAGGCCCATGTGCCATACCTTATCAAATGCCTTTGATACATCTAAAAGCAAGATACCAGTACTTTTGTTCAGGGTGAACCCCCTGGTTACATGCTCCACCAGTCTAACTGCCTGTAGCTCCGTACTATGCTCAGACCGAAAGCCGAATTGCACGTCAGGGATCACATGATGATCTGACGAGAAACTCTCAAGGTGACGATAAATCACCTTTTCAGCGAGCTTAGAAGGAGCTGACAGCAGACTAATGGGACGATAATCCTGGAGGAATATCGAACCTGCCTTCTTTGGGATCATGATGACTTCAGCGATCTTCCACGCATTTAATTTTATTGAGAAAATTAACCACTTCTGTCGGAATATCGAAAAAAGCCCTCTAGCGGCCATATGTGAAACTAACAAAACTTCAAATATCATGAAGTTTGTAGCCCAAGAATAGCTCTTTTCAACTAGCTCGAGTTTGTTAAAATCGGCTCAGCCGTTTCGAAGATACAGGGTGGTATTTTTAGAGGTACAAACAAAAAAAGTTCACAATATCCTCAACTTTAAGGATCGAGCTTTTTTTAGGTTAATATAGCGGAATTTACAACATCACTTTTTCAGATTCAGGATTGCAGGTACGCCCCCTAGCGGACATTTCAGAAACTCGAAAATATTTTCCCGGTGGGTTCCCAGATATAGTACCTTGCATTCCTAGTTAACCGCCCTGTACATAAACACTAATTACAATTACGATATTTTCAAACTAATTAGATAGAACTATAGATTTTTGGAACGGTATTGGAATTTAACTTCAGTAAAATATTTTTTCAATAAATTTGTAATAAAACATTTAAAATTAGACCTTGCGCGAAAACATATTTTGAAAGGAGACAAACAACGATTCTTACGTTATTTTAATTCATATCAAATTCATTTTTGCACAGTTCAAACGCTTTTTTAGCGACTCTTGGCCTTTTCATACTTTGTATAAATAAAGCCGAATTATTATTATTAATATTATTATTATAAAATTAATTTATTGATGTTTAGTTTTTTTTAATTGTAGATATAGGTTCCAAAAGTTGAAGAATTCGATCATGTTACATGACTGTTCACGTTGAGGTATAATAACACAGTAGATATACATATATATAGCATTTTCTATATCAAATAGATAGATTTATAGTATATTAGAAATAGACAGTACGTGAGCCTGCTCTTCCATTTTTTCTTGTCACGAGGATTTTATAGATAAGTATACCATGTTGATAGTTTATTTATTTATTTAACATCAATATACGAAATGTTTTTGAAGCATGAATGTCATGTATCTGAACTTTTTGATTAATATACATGATTCTATATTCCTCTGTAGGGTATATAAAATAGCTACTTCAGAAGCAAAATGTTTGATGATAAGCGATAACGAGAAACGGCGTAACATTTTTTCATGCAAGAAAACGAAATGATTAAGGCTAAATAACACTTTCAAAAGGTTGATATCATTATCCATAGTCACTAGTATCTTATATTATAGTATGAGGTGACTAAATGGTAGAATGACGACATACGAGGACGGTCCGATAAGTACTAAGCCTACAAAAGAAAATATTGGGTATTTCTCAATATAGTCTCCTTAATGCTCGATGCACGTGGCCCAGCGATGCTCCAACTCCTTTAACCCATCTGAAAAATACGTTTTCTGGAGGTACCCAAAGTAGGCCTCGGTAACGGCGATCACCTCCTCATTCGACTCAAATTTCTGCCCAGCGAGTGACTTTTTCAAGTTTGGAAACAAAAAGAAGTCACACGGTGCCAAATCTGGAGAATACGGTGGATGAGGCAGCAGTTCGTAGCCAAACAAACCCACGAGTCCGATTCGGCTGAAATTTTGACAGTAGCCATCTACGTAAAAGTACTTACCGGACCGCCCTCGTACTCAACGTACCGACAATATAGATCGTGCGTTTTTTTAAATGTAATGAGCATTATCATTGATTACTCTAAATCTAAATTTGAAAAACCAATATAGTTTTCTCCTTATTATATACTAAGTGACATATAAATCCGAACACCCAGTTTAAATGGTTTTATTTTAATAAAATTTTGTATAAGTACTTAATGAACCATAATAAGTAAATGATAAAAAATTCAAAATGATTGCACTGCTTTAAAGCCCTTTGACCTTTAATAATGTGTGGATGCACCCTGATGTGCTACGCATTCTCCAACGCGCCTAGGCATGCTTCTGATCAGGTGGTCAATGTCCTCCTGTGGTATCTCATTCCAGGCAACCACCAACTCCTCTCGAAGTGCTTCTAGAGTCTGAGGAGGACGTTGCAAATTGAGCAATCTCCTACCCATCATATCCCACACGTGCTCAATTGGGGATAAGTCGGGAGATCTTGGTGGCCATGGAAAGAAGTCTATTGTGACTCTTGCAACCTGTGGTCGGGCATTATCTTGTTGGAAAGTTGGATCTGCCAGGGTGTCAAGATAGGGTAAAAGATGGGGTTCTAGAACTTCGTGGATATAACGCTGCGCGTTCATGTTACCTCTGATGAAGATTAAAGGTGACCTGGAATCATAAGCTATAGCACCCCAAACCATAACTCCAACAGTGTGATGAACATGTCTTTCAACAAAAAAACTGTGGATTCCTCCTTTCACCACGTCGCCTTCTAACCCTGGCACGACCATCGTGCATGCCTAAAAAAATCGAGACTCGTCACTAAAGACAATACTGTTCCATTCCTGATCCCAGAGTGACCGTTGTCTGCACCACTCTAGGCGATTACGTCGGTGTTCTCGAGTTAAAGGGAGGACCCAGTGTGACTTCGCATGCCAATAGGTCTTCCGTGTTCTGCAAACCATTCATTTGCAATGGACCTGGTAGTGGAGAAACGGTCCCTTAAGGCCAATAATCTTAGGCGGCGATCTTCACGGTCTGTTGTTCTACGGCGGCGTCCAGTGCCCCTTGCTCTTTGCGTACGGCCTTCTCGAAGCCATGCCTGACAACACCTAACCACAGTGTCTACACTTCTTTGCACTCTAACTGCAATTGCCCGAAAAGAAAGTCCACCTTCCCGAAGTCCCACTATACGGCCCCTATCAAACTCACTAAGTTGACGAAATCGTACAGGTCTCCGTACTCTAGGCATCGTAACCGATCGTAAAGGATGTCAAGAACCAAAATCCGCCAACGTTGATTCTTTACTGCGGCTGAAATATTCATTTTTAGAGCGTTAGTGAATTAAACAAAAGCAATATAAAAACCGGAATGTCCAACTGATAAGGCTGAACATTTTTTCACTTGTTATTTACAGTAAGATAAATACATTCACCAACTTTTATTAAAATAAAACCATTTAAACTGGGTGTTCGGATTTATATGTCACTTAGTATATTTGATCGTCAAATGTATGTTCCTACAGATGGAGCCGAAGAAGCCGTAGGGGATCGCAAAGCTCTCACCGGGCCCCCGTAATGGACTACCGCACAGGGTACATCAGGTCGCATCTGCGGTCGCCTTCCGGCAGGGTGCGGTGACCAAGCTACCATCTCGACGAACCAATCATCAACGAGTTTTACTTGACACCACTCTAGACATTTTCTTCGAAGCAACGCATGAAACGGTGGTGGTTATTGTGTTTAGCAATAAGGGTAGGATGCGGCATTCAACTGGCCAAAGAAACGAATTACGATGGCGGTCCGATAAGTACTTAGCCTAAGGGAATTCTTCTAGACGGCTACGGTCAAAATTTCAGTCGGATCGGACTAGTAGTTTTGTTTAGACCGCGCGTGGAAGCGGGAGTGTCCGCGGATTTTAGAACAATGAAAATTGGGCAATATCGGACGGTGATTTGACTCTTGTTTTCGGAAGAGAAATCGCTCAGCGATATCAAAGAGCACTTGGATGCTCTCCTTCGATGGCGACCGTCAAAATTGGTTTACCGAGTTCTAACGCGGTTGCGCAAAAGACCGCGTGAGACATCCTGCGTAAAATATTGAACATGAGAAAGATGTCCGCGCGACAACAACCATGAGGCCCCTTCAAAGCAGTGTTTGCCGCTGTTTAAGCGTAATCCGTAGGGGTTTCTGCATCGTTTCGTGACTGTCAACGAAGCATGGATCCACTGGTATACACCAGAGATCCAGGTACAGTCGAAACAGTGGCGAACGTGCTCTGAAGAAGGTGAAGACTGTCCTATCGACCGGAAAGGTGATGGCCGCCGTTTTCTGGAATTCACAAGGTGAGATCTACATCGAGTTTCAACGTGGTCGCATGTCGGTTTTCGATGAGCCACGTCCGGGTACCCCGAAAACGGCTACCACGGAGGACAACGCGACAAAAATCCACAATCCAGTATTGGGAGACCGCCGATTAAAGGTGTGCGTGATAGCTGAGGTACTAGAGATCTCAAAAGACCGCGTGGGTCATCCTGTATGAAATATTGGTCATTAGAAAGCTGTCTGCGCGACAACAACCATGAGACCCCTTCAGAGCAGTGTTTGGCGCTGTTTAGGCGCAATCCGTATGGGTTTCTGCATCGTTTCGTGGCTGTCAACGAAGCATGGATCCACTGGTACACACCAGAGATCAAGGAACAGTCGAAACAGTGGCGAATGTGCTCTAAACAAGGCGAAGACTGTCCTATCGACCGGAAAGGTGACGGCCACCGTTTTCTGGGATTCACAAGGTGAGATCTACAACGAGCTTCAAGGTGGTCGCACGTCGGTTTTCGACGAGCCACGTCCAGGTACCTCGAAAACGGCTACCACGGAGGACAACTTCACAAAAATCCACATTCTTGCTGGCGCTGTTTAAGCACAATCCGTATGAGTTTCTGCATCGTTTCGAGACTGTCAACGAAGCATGGATCCATTGGTACACACCAGAGATCAAGGAACAGTCGAAACAGTGGCGAACGTGCTCTGAAAAAGGCGAATACTGTCCTATCGACCGGAAAGATGATGGCCACCGTTTTCTGGGATTCACAAGGTGTGATCTACATGACTACCTCTAGAAGGGTAAAACGGTCACAAGGCTCTATGAACTATTGGGCCGACTTGACGCCGAATTGCAGATAAAACGGTCCCATTTGGCGAAGAAAAAGTGCTCGTCCACTATGATTAGGCTACGAACTGCTGCCCCGTCCACCGTATTCTCCAGATTTGGCCCCGGGCGACTTTTTGGTTCCAAACTTGAAAAATTCATTCGCCTGTCAGAAATTTGAGTCGAATGAGGAGGTTATCGCCGCTACAGAGGCTTACTTAGCAAACCTTCAAAAAACGTATTTTTCAGACGGGTTAAAGAAAGAAGAAGAAGAAGAAATAAATCGCCACTTTTAAAAAAGTTTCGTATTTCTTTTATACGCTAAGTACTTATCGGACCGCCTACGTACACCAGCGATATACAATGTAGAACAGACAAATGAAAATAATAGTAACTGGAAATAATATAGGTACCTTATTGATCATTTTCATTGCTGTCGACTTTTTGTTCTGATAAATAATCTCATGTCTTTTTTGGCCAGTTGATGACATTCATGCAAGCGATTTGAGTTCGACAATACTATTCGTCGTACCTTCTCTCAAGGCTGTCCGAGACACCTCAACCTTTAGGTTATAGTAATTGCAAAGTCGGTATCCGACGTCAATCTATTGGGTCTAGTGGACTAGAAGGCGCACGAAGTATATGCAACCGCTTAGGGTTATTCCAAAAAATAAGGTTCCCATACTTTTTCAGGCACAAGGAATTTTTGATTTCGCACCTGACGGTAACGGCGATGAAAAGCTCCATTGCGCATGGCTGTCGGGCCAGTACTGAGCATCGCAAATAGGCGCTTCTTGTTCGATGGTGGGGAGTCGACAAACACGACGGTGTTGCCAGATTTCGCCTAGCATCATGAGATAGAAGATACAGCGTTGGGAAGCTTATTTTTGAGACACCCCTCGTATGTGAGATGTAACATGAGGATTTCAATTTTGGCTTGTTATAAACAATGGACTTGAACTGTCGAACTTATATTTTTGATGGTTTATAGGTAACTCAATTTGGTTTACAGTGCGGGCTGAGTCCTAGAAATATTTCTTTCTTGCTAGGCTGTGTAATCCACGGCTTTGCGTAACAATTTGCTATGTGATCCTTAAGCGGGTGATACGTACGATGCGACATCAGTTATTGTTCCGATTGATCACAAATAACTGTCTACAGTGAGAACCAAATTTGTCGGACGGCTTGAGTTCCATGTGTACGAGAGATAAGTGTGTATAGACACATTTGTTAGAAAGAGATAGAAACCGGAGATATAGCGAAGCTCATCATCAATTCCTTGAATTAAGATGCAAGTTGAATATCTGCTTTAGTTTATTCTCTACGCCCAAATAACAGTCTTGTTTTGAACGTACACATTTTTTAATTGTGAATTGGGTGGAATCTGTTCAAGATCCATTCCGGATGGCTCCATTTTAGGTCGGGATCGCCACAAATTCTGCAACATTGCATCATTGATTCGCTTGGTAACACCGCATCTTGTACATTCCAAGGCAAGGTTTCCACCTCCATGATCAAGGACGAGTGATTTTGGTCAGTACCCATCTAACGCTCATTGGGGAGTGTCGTCCTGGTTTGAAATGGTTTTCACCTAACAATAACTCAAAATGTGTTGATTTCATCACCATCGGTGGAAATCGAAGATAATTTCAAAATAAATTAAAGCACAAGTCGCATCAAAATTGAAATAGATAATTCTGGTCAAAATGAAGATCGATTCTGGATGGCTCCATTTTAGGTCTGGATCGCCACAAATTTTGCAACATTGCATCTTTGATTCGCTTGGTAACACCGCATCTTGTACATTCCAAGGCAAGGTTTCCACCTCCATGATCATAGACAGCGATTTTGGTCAGTACCCATCTAACGCTCATTGGGGAGTGTCGTCCTGGTTTGAAATGGTTTTTACCTAAAGATAACTCAAAATATGTTGACTTCATCATAATCGGTGAAAATCGAAGATCATTTCAAAATAAATTAAAACACAAGTCGAATCAAAATTGAAATAGATAATTCTGGTCAAAATGAAGATCGATTCTGGACGGCTCCATTTTAGGTCTGGATCGCCACAAATTTTGCAACACTGCATCATTGATTCGCTTGGTAACACCGCATCTTGTACATTCCAAGGCAAGGTTTCCACCTCCATGATCAAGGACGAGCGATTTTGGTCAGTACCCATCTAACGCTCATTGGGGAGTGTCGTCCTGGTTTGAAATGGTTTTTACCTAAAGATAACTCAAAATGTGTTGATTTCATCATAATCGGTGAAAATCGAAGATAATTCCAAAATAAATTAAAACACAAGTCGCATCAAAATTGAAATAGATAATTCTGGTCAAAATGAAGATCGATTCTGGATGGCTCCATTTTAGGTCTGGATCGCCACAAACTTTGCAACATTGCATCATTGATTCGCTTGGTAACAACACATCTTGTACATTCCAAGGCAAGGTTTCCACCTCCATGATCAAGGACGAGCGATTTTGGTCAGTACCCATCTAACGCTCATTGGGGAGTGTCGTCCTGGTTTGAAATGGTTTTTACCTAAAGATAACTCAAAATGTGTTGATTTCATCATAATCGGTGAAAATCGAAGATAATTCCAAAATAAATTAAAACACAAGTCGCATCAAAATTGAAATAGATAATTCTGGTCAAAATGAAGATCGATTCTGGATGGCTCCATTTTAGGTCTGGATCGCCACAAACTTTGCAACATTGCATCATTGATTCGCTTGGCAACACCGCATCTTGTACATTCCAAGGCAAGGTTTCCACGTCCATGATCAAGGACGAGCGATTTTGGTCAGTACCCATCTAACGCTCATTGGGGAGTGTCGTCCTGGTTTGAAATGGTTTTTACCCAAAGATAACTCAAAATGTGTTGATTTCATCATAATCGGTGAAAATCGAAGATAATTTCAAAATAAATTAAAACACAAGTCGCATCAAAATTGAAATAGATAATTCTGGTCAAAATGAAGATCGATTCTGGATGGCTCCATTTTAGGTCTGGATCGCCACAAATTTTGCAACATTGCATCATTGATTCGCTTGGTAACACCGCATCTTGTACATTCCAAGGCAAGGTTTCCACCTCCATGATCAAGGACGAGTGATTTTGGTCAGTACCCATCTAACGCTCATTGGGGAGTGTCGTCCTGGTTTGAAATGGTTTTTACCTAAAGATAACTCAAAATGTGTTGATTTCATCATAATCGGTGGAAATCGAAGATAATTTCAAAATAAATTAAAACACAAGTCGCATCAAAATTGAAATAGATAATTCTGGTCAAAATGAAGATCGATTCTGGATGGCTCCATTTTAGGTCTCGATCGCCACAAATTCTGCAACATTGCATCATTGATTCGCTTGGTAACACCGCATCTTGTACATTCCAAGGCAAGGTTTCCACCTCCATGATCATAGATGAGCGATTTTGGTCAGTACCCATTGGGGAGTGTCGTTCTGGTTTAACGATAACTCAAAATGTGTTGATTTCATCACCATCGGTGGAAATCGAAGATAATTTCAAAATAAATTAAAACACAAGTTGCATCAAAATTGAAATAGATAATTCTGGTCAAAATGAAGATCGTTTCTGGATGGCTCCATTTTAGGTCTGGATCGCCACAAATTCTGCAACATTGCATCATTGATTCGCTTGGTAACACCGCATCTTGTACATTCCAAGGCAAAGTTTCCACCTCCATGATCATAGACGAGCGATTTTGGTCAGTACCCATCTAACGCTCATTGGGGAGTGTCGTCCTGGTTTGAAATGGTTTTCACCTAACAATAACTCAAAATGTGTTGATTTCATCACCATCGGTGGAAATCGAAGATAATTTCAAAATAAATTAAAGCACAAGTCGCATCAAAATTGAAATAGATAATTCTGGTCAAAATGAAGATCGATTCTGGATGGCTCCATTTTAGGTCTGGATCGCCACAAATTTTGCAACATTGCATCATTGATTCGCTTGGTAACACCGCATCTTGTACATACCAAGGCAAGGTTTCCA